AATGTTTCTTCATCTCTCCTCACAGAAGTGGCAAATCTATTCTGTTCCAACGGTTACATGAGTTATTGCAAAATTGACAACGGCTTTTGCATTCAACATTATGTCAAGGGCTTTTTAAGTGAGTATATCTTTTCTGTTTAATTAAAATTGGGTGTGTAGGTCCACCATTTGGTCCCTTGAGTATCTAGGGATGACCTTTCATGCATTCAGGTGAATCATTAAGTGCTGGACAACCAAAGAACTGGAGATGAATTGAGGTGAGTGTACACATGAATCAGGCCTGTGATTCTCCCCAGAAGACCCTGTGGAGTCTGTTGACATATAATGGTCTTGCTTTCTTCAAGGGATTTGAGTACATCTGGAAGATTTCTCTTTCTGGGGCCCAAGAAATTCAGCCAGGAAACATGCTGTGAAGAAAGAGCCTGAGCTGCACATCAATTCTGAGTCAAGCCTCTTCTTAGCAAAGAGGATACTTAAAGGGCCTATTTGAGGGACCAGAGAAACTTGATCAGAAATAGCTAAGGCTTCTCCGTTCCCATAAGAGAGGAGTGGGCCTTTAAAAAACTGAGCTGCTTCTTGCAGTTTGTTCCCCTTCCAACAGCAGGGGATCCAGTTGCCTTTCAAGCACTGTGGCTCCAAGATGGAATCTTCTAAAAAAATGATGATTTTTTGTGAGTAAACCTGAACAACAAGTGGTGTGTTTTGGTTAAGATTGGTTTAGGTTTTTTAAAAAAATAATTTTTATTAACTGGCCAATCACATCAAATTCAATCACATCGTATAAATTCCAAATTACAAAGCCAAATTTTTAAATTTTGTTGGGGGAACCCATACTTCAAGATCCAAAGGGGAATTCAGATCATCTTCTTATTACTGCGTTAATGTCCCAATCAGTCCCAATCAATCCAAACAAAGTTTATAATTCTATCCAGTCTTATCTTGGTGTTTCCACATCATATCTTATTCATATAATTTCTCTTTTTCCTTTACGATCTCTTCTGTTGGTTTCCTTAAGCCGATAACAAGTATAATAATCCTGTGTGAATTTCCCGTTCCTCCACTAAGTCCAGATGGTTTCCATATATCTCCTTCGTAGATAACATCGCTCTTTCCATCGTAAATTTTGGCATTTGTCGCTCTTAAGTCCCACCGAGGAGTTGATCCACGATATGTAAACAACTCTATTTCTCTCTTTCTCCTCCCAGACCCAAGAGCTCCAACAATGCCTCCCAAAATGGCGATGGCATTTTTAACTGCGTCATTCCAAAACTCTTAGCTTTCCAGCTTCATCTTGAAACATTGCTTTGGATCGAAAGTTTATCTCCACACAGCCTTAAATCCACAGCTTAAGTCCTTAATTTCTGACTCATTAGGGGAGGGGATTCTTGTTAAATCACATGAAAAAAAGGAAGGCAGGTTTTCTCCCCCCTCCCCCATTTGTCATTACCGTATCTTGACGTATCTTCTCATATTTTATTCTTGTCTTGTTATCAGAGATCTCTTCTGTCAGCAGTCTTTACTCCCCTTTTTCCTTGAAGCATGTGCAAATAATCTCGTCCAAATTGTTTCTTTTAAAGATCAATGCAACCAGCGGCGTGAATCAGGGACGGCGTCCAGGAGAGCCGGAATCCCACAGTAGGGCTTTGTGCCTAGTGCCCCCACCCCCACAAATTCGGGGGTGGTATAGGGCACAGCAGGCAAGGGCCGCCCCCCCCCCACAATCCTGGGGGGGGGTTAAGGAGGCTAATTACCCCCATCATAGCCTCCAAATTACCTCGTGTGGGTCGGAGAGATGTTATTGTCAGCCATCTTCCGATGCGCCACCTAGTGGCCCCCCCAAGATTGGTTTAGTTTAGAGCCACAGTGCTTGGGTTTATTTTGTATTCTGCTTTGACTTTTTGCATGTTTCCCTGTTACCTTAATTCCTAGTAGGTTTCTTAAATTGACTGCTGAATTGTACATGTCTTCCAATTTCAGGGTTGTTGTTTTTTTAAAAAGATATTTATTGAAGATTTTAAAGATACAAATAAAGACAAAAAACAAACATACAAAATAACAAACACTTATAAAAACACACATTAATTTTCAATAACATAACTTCCATACCCTTATTTCCTCAGACCTCCTCATACCTCCCTTCTTTGTATTCCAGTTCAAATTGTTAATTCAGCAAATCCTTACCATTAGACTTTTACCCATTTATAGTCCTTTTTTCATGTCTCTTAAAAAATTATTCAGCATATACTAAAGCCAAACCATTTCCTTTCAAACATCCTTCTATCGTTCATCAAATATATAAAACAGTCCTAGTAGTCCAATAAAGAGAATGAAACAATCCAATCTTCATCCAGCGTCCCCTCCCCCTGGTTCCGGGTTTGTCAGTCCATTTTATCTCATAGAGCTAACACATTAACCTGGTAACCTTATATCCGAGGCCCTTGAGTCTCTTCCCTGTCCCTTCCACAGTTTTTCTTCTGGATCTCCTTTCCCTCGTGTGAACTCCAACTTGGTAGTGTTATTGACCCTTTTCAACAAATCAACCCTTTCCCCATAGTCCATATTGAACTCCATATAAGATTTAAGGTCACATTTCTCAGTCTTTCCAAAATTGGGAGTCCCCATATCTCCAAACCTCTCACGGCCCATTCCCAGACTCGGAAAGTCCATAAATTCCTGCTCGGGGGGGGGGGGTCAATCCAACCCCCCATTTCCAGACCAAACCAAACTTTATCTTTCCAAGTCTGATTTTTCCGGCAATCAATTGGTAAATCCAAAAGCTCATGTTCCTGCTGGGCCGCGACTTCCTCCTTCTCTGACTCCATCTCTGGCTCCCAAAATTCCACATCCTCCTCTTCTTTCGTCTGTTCTATTTCGGCAGACTCCTTACTTGATTCCTGGATAAGCTCCATTCTTTTTCCCACTGCCTGGTCCAAATTTTCCACTGTCTGCTTAAATTTCACTACCAAGTCAGTCGTCAAATTCACTTCCTCATGCAATTCTTCCAGTTGGGCGTTTGTTTTAAATAAAACACACAATAGTGCTTCTGAATACATTGTGCTTCAAGGACACCAGTCAAATTCCCACGAGATAGTCTACAGCAGCTGGAAGTTCCCTGTAAACAGCTACAATTTCACGTTCTCCCTCTAGGGGGTAAACTTCTATTGCAGATCCAGCCACAAAGTTACTTTTTTGTTTGTTACTTTTGTCCAAATTTGTTCCTTTACGATGCGAAAGGACACAATGGAATCACGATGTTTCTTTTCATTTAGCTAGCTGTCAAAACTTCTGTCTCTGGTCAATGAGCTTTAAATGTCGGTCCTGACACCCGCTCCAGGGTTAGGACAGTGGAAGCTTACTTTACTTTAAGCTTACTTCGGCAGGTTTAAACGTTCCAAAAAGAAAAAGCTCCCCCTTCTCCTGCCAAAAGATGGGGGGGGTCTAACCTTTTAGATGATGAAGTCCAGTCTTTTGGTAGTAATTTTCAAGACTCTAGCTTGTTCTGTCTTTGCTTTGTACGGTCTTCAAAGGAACGGAAGGCTGACTTCCTGTTTGGACCTTTCCGTTTCAGTATCAAATTAAGTTAAAAATTTAAGTCCAATTCTTCTCTACCAGCCAGTCCTTGTTTAAAATCCAATTGTTTCCAGTTTCATGTACTCACGAATGATGCTTTTAGATGCCGAATTTTCCCAGGAAGAAGGCAGCGCTCTCCGGTAACAGCTATGCGGCTTCGCTCCACGGAAAGAGCAGTTTGACTCTCAGCACCGCGTCGCTTCCCCCTCGTCGCTCCGGAGCCCGATTGTGGATTCCTTTGCGAGTTGGGGGGGCACGCTAATGGTGCCCGCCGAGTCCCATGTTCACAGGCTTCTCCCGCCTGTGATTTTTAAAGGGTCACCGCTGCGCCGTTGTGGTAAAGACCCGATTTCCGCGGAGCTCTGTCCCTCCAGTTTAGAGGGAAGCAGCCATTACCGATGGCGCCACCCCGGAAGTCCATGCCACACCCGGGGTTTTAGAATCCACGTAGAAACCTACTGTGAGTTTAGGGTAAGAGATGTAGGTGACCAGCACACTCTTCTGAGTCCTGGGAGACTCAGAAAGAGTATGGGGTGCCACTATACTTTGAGACAAACCACAAAGATGCAGGGCAATCAGAGGAGTGTTGTGGTACTGCCTCCAAACCTTTGAAAAAGTGATTGCTTTAGTGTACTCCAAGTTTTCTCCCAACTGGGACTGCAGGAGTAAGTGAGAGCATGGTGACACCTTATTATTTGCTTGCATATAACATAGTGCTGTAACACACCTCTGTATTTTCTTTGCACATGTGTGCAGTTTTGTTGTTTTGAGTCACATTCCATAACATTTAGAGAGTGCCAAGAAAGTGACATAACTGGGAGTGTGATAGCACTAATCTATGCAAATAGTAATGCATTTAATTCATGTTGTTCATTGAAATGAAAGAGGGTTTATACATTGTTTCGGTGATATAATACCTGCTCACACGAAGACAGGAAGCGGAAGCTACCTCCTGCAGACTCAAACCCTTGGTCCATCCTTATATTGTCTAAACCAATTGGCATGAGGTGTCTACTGTCTATTGGTAATTTCCCCCATCCATACCTGGAGATGTTAGTCATTGAATCTGGGACCTTAGGCATCCAATTCAAATGATCTACTAGTGAGTTAGGGCCCTTCCTCTGTAACTTAATAGAGTGTGTAATATCTCAGCTATGGACTTTAGACAGGGCAGCCAATTACTGTTAACATGCTTTCTGTGAATATTCTCTGGCCTTTGCCTCACGCCTCCCTCCTCAACTGATATTCCCAACTGCCATGTATGATAATTCCTCACTGACAGTTAAATACCAACTGATAAGAAACATAAGCCTATCGGGGTCTGCTGTTTCCTTGACCAACCAGAATTAAATGACCTGAACCCAGCCCTTTGAAGCAAGATTCAAAGTCATCTTCTCTCTGTCTCCAAAGCAGCTGCTGCCAAGTAGGCAGTGATGTAGCGTGGGGGGGGGGGGACATTGCCCTGGGCACATTTTTTCAAGTGGGTGCCACCATGTACTGCCACTATAGCTCCCGCATTGAGGGAACCCACCACCGGGCTCACCTTTGGGGCTGGAGTGTGGGTGGCAGCAGCAGCCGGTCCATTCCTTGGGAGCAGAAGCGTTGGAGAGGTGGTGATATTGCAGCCGAGGGAGGAACGAACTCCATCTGCCACTGTGCCTTGCATGGCTGTTGGAGCTCATTTCTCCCTCAGTATGTGGGGCTACTGGGGTGCTGTGGTGGGCTCCTTCATCTTCCGCATCCCTCTCCCAGTGTGCCCTGCCCTCCGGTGCTCACAGATACACACGCTGGGCACCATGGGCTCAAGCAATGTCATGGCAAGTAGGTCTGCAATATTATAATACCATACTTCCTCAAACCCTGACAGGCACACTCTGACATTTCACACAAATCTCTCTCTTTTAAAAAAAGCCAACATGAACAGAACATTTCCTCTTAGAAGGTTACATGCATCAACCACTGGATCCTCCTGGAAAAGGTATCTGAGCTGTGGGTGGGTGGTAGTGCTTTATAATCATTCTGGTTGTCTTCAGTGGGTGATTTTCAACTCTATAGAGACTTGTACCTGAGTGACAGGCCACAATGATAAACAGGAATGTAAAGTTGCTGGAGCATCATGAGTTAAGTGAATTAACCAACCTGATATAGTTTGCAAATTGAAGCAAAGAGGCAGTAGGGATGTTGAGTTTGGGAGCTCTCCACTTCTCACCCCCAATACATTTGCTTGTTGCAGCAGTTATCAACTGATGTGCTAAAAGCTGTGTGATTTTTAATTGTACTTTTCTTATTGCCTTTAATTCTTTCATTGTATTTTATTTTCTCCTACAAACTTGGACTGTGAAGTGAACATTCACCACCTCCATACTAGCCTTCTCTTTTTCCAGGGTTGCCAGTTTTTCTTACCATCTTATTTATTTATTTATTTAATTTCTATACCACCCTTCATCCGAGGATCACAGGGAGGTTTACAGTATAAAAACACAAAAATGCATAGCATAGTAATATATTCTTCTTCTGCTTCTTAAAAATATAGTATATGGCATGTTCTTGAGTGGGCCTCTGAAACAACTAACTGATTATTAGGTAGAGATGAATGGTAGATTAGCCTGTTACGAGCCCTTAGCAAAACCAAGTCTGCCTTGCCCCATTTATGTGCATTTTTTTAAGGAAATATCCTAGAATATTTACATAAGAAAATATGTTGTACTCATTGGTTGATTACTAATGAAATGACTTGAATCACTAGCTTGCAAATCCAGTGCTTGACATATTTTATTTTCTTCAGTCACCCATTTGACAATTTTTTTTGAAAAAAACATCATCTAGATTTCAGTAAGGAGAGATGTGATTTGAATTTTTGCAGATTTAGTCTTTCCAATTCTTGCTCACAGATGGGTCTTCAGTACCATCCGATTTTAAATTGGGATGTGCTACAAATTGTCCCTCAACGAATTACAGCTTCTCTACATTAGAAGATGAATTACAGAATAGGATCTACTGCTGCCAAGATGACTTTTGCATCCCAAGACAGATTGACTGTAAGTAGCTGCATTCTTTTAGATTTATATATCTCTATGTATCCCTGAGCATGAATAGCATTGAGATTTCCCATTTCCCCATTGGTTGCTCATAGACATATGATACTGTTCCAGTGCAATAACCATCTTCTTAGTTTACATGGGAGATGATTAGAATCAGCATCACCATCTGTGTCTCAAAGGGGAAGCAAGTGTCCTGCCTGAAGCACTTATTGACAAAGAGCTTCAAATGACCCCTGGGTGATTCTTCATTTATTGGGCAATTGGGGAGCGATAGAGAGATGAATAACCACTAAAACATCTGACAGTGGGTGTCATTTGCAGACCAGCGTGCAGCACTCCCGATCTCCCTAGAGACAAGCCAGTTGGCCTGAGCTGGCCTGCCTTCCAAGATTCGCGGACCATTGGGGTTCCTGCCAAACCCCTATTTAAATCAGTCAATCTGTTGTGTCACTAAGGGCTGGGCCAAGTGAGCGGACCGCGAGTGAGAAAATTTCATTCTGGTCTGCTCTGGGGTTTTATAAGTGGGGCGGAGCCAGCGTGGGACACACAGTTGGTTCTCGAGCTTCACCCACCCAATCCTCTCTTAGATCTCTTCCTTTTGTGGCAGTTTAACCATTTTCCTTCCAGGTTTGTGGGTGTTGCTACCGTCTTATGATGGTTGCTGTTGAAGAGCCAGGAAGGAATTGTCCCTGCTCCGCAGGTTTCACCTTCCCCGTAGGAATTGTCACAACACTGGCAGTTTTAGGCCTTGGACAGAAACCTTTAGTCGTCATTTTAGGGGTGGGGGGACTGAAGTGGTGACTCACCCCTCCTTGCGATGGCATTTTCAGGGTTCAGTACTTGTGTGAAGGGGATCACTGGCCATACACTGGTAGGTTGTCGGTGAACTTCCCAAAATTGTGTGGAGAAGTGGGGACTGGCTATGTAAAGATGCATTTTACAATGCCCCCTCTGATCCTATTAACTCTGCTGTGCCTCAGTTCCCTGGCTGGGGGGCTGAGAGGGATACATGGCCAATGCCTAAGCCAAAGTTTCCTACATGTGAAACTGTGGATAAAGTTGTGGCCATTTTAATCATAATAAATGTTGACATGTATGATTCATTGCTCTGGGCCTGTCTCCTAGGGGAGAGGGGGGTCTCTGCCTGGACACACAATACATTTCTTCCTTGCTCCCTACTAGCCCAGCTAGAGTCTGGAAAGGGAGACTGTGACCTGGGAAGTAACGAAATTGTTGTCAAGAATATATGTGTGACTAATGGGTGGCAATTTGTATTATTGTTTTATATGGTTCAGTAAGAGAACCATTTCTTTCTTTCTTTGGTTTTTGAAGTACATTTTTGTTGTGTTGAAGGAGTGACAGACGATAGGGGATGGTGACTTGAGTAAGAGATGCTGGAGTGACTGGGCAGATTGTGTGCATTTGTGAAACAGAATGTGATCTGTGATACTGACTGAGTAGCAGGTATTTTATTATTTGTGTAAATGTAGGGCATAAATTCAGTGTAATGTGTAGTGAGTTGGGAGAGTTGGCAAAAGGGTCTCTGAAGAGAGGGAAAAGATCCCTGAATCTAAATATATCTTATTTTTATTTCTTTTGAGATTTGATTGCTTTATTGCATTGCATTGTAGTTATGTGTAAAATTGCTTTTTATTTTATTGTAGTTTCACAGTTTCATACACACACACACACACACACATTTTTAATTGGCAAACCACTTTGAGACTGTATTGTGGTATATAAAACATATATAAATGTATTGAATACAAATAATATTAATAATAATAATAATAATAACAAGCTGTATTTACTATTTTAAAAATGTATATATCTATATGTAGATATATATATATATATATATATATATATATATATATATATATATATATATATAGAGATATATAGAGATATAGATATATATATATATGCTTTCGTAGATTTTCACGGGTACAGGAATGCAGGTTTTGGTGTCCTCGGGTGTCTTCCCGTGTAAAAGTTGGGGTGTCTAGGCGACGTTTCGACGAGGTCTCACTCGTCATCTTCATCTTGAAGATGACGAGTGAGACCTCGTCGAAACGTCGCCTAGACACCCCAACTTTTACACGGGAAGACACCCGAGGACACCAAAACCTGCATTCCTGTACCCGTGAAAATCTACGAAAGCAAATATCTCACCTCTACGGGGAGGAAACCTTCCATGAAGATGACGAGTGAGACCTCGTCGAAACGTCGCCTAGACACCCCAACTTTTACACGGGAAGACACCCGAGGACACCAAAACCTGCATATATATATATATATATATATATATATATATATACACACACACACACACTCTTCAGCAATAGTTTACAACATAGTAACAAAGTAAACAACATAATGTAGGGCTGCCAAACGTCTGGGCTTTCCCGGCCATATCCATGTGTTTGTGGGAGGGTTGGGGCGGGAGATGTCCCAATATCCTCTCAAGAAATGTTGGAACATATGCCTACTAGGGCTGAGCCTGGCTCACAAGTGGGTGGCCTACCACCTGAAGCCTGTCTGGCTTCTCTCTCCCCATTCCAAAACACACCATCCAGAGCAGGTGAAGTCCTGCAGTCTGACTGCTGGCATCTCAGTCTAGGTATTCAAGGTAATAACCAGATCTGCATTGTCTGCATGATTAATGCAACCCTCTGGCAGGATTATAGAACTGAGGCCTAGGATTTTTTATGGAGATATATGGGCTGAATCCATGTGTTTATTGTATGGATTGCTTTTGGCAGCGCCAGCATATGGTTTCAATGGGCTAAGGTGTCCGTTCTATGATGCTTCTGACCCAGAAGATTGTCCGAAGTTGAGAAATCTCAGATGTCGTGGTGATGAGACTCGATGCTTTGAGTTTGTCCTTGTTCACAGTAAGTATCACTGCCAATAAATGTGAGGGAGATTAGAAACACAGCTTGCCAGGGTGGGTTGGTTGCTCTCTTATTCTGTTTGCAGCTTCATGCCAGAAAAAAGATTTCATGTTTTGTGGGAAAGGGCAGGTTTCTCTCCCCTGAACATATTACAGTATTATGCAGTATATAGTTGAGCCTATGAAGTGATGATCCAGAATGCAAAATTGAGCCTCTCTCTCTCTCCATCCCAGAATGTGGATTAAGCCTCTCTTGCATAATAACAAAAAAAATACACACGTGACCATGCCTCTTTCTCTTTACCAGATGACAGTTCGGTTCCTGATAAGGTTTATAATGGCTGTGCCACCCCAACGTTTTGTGAGTTGGCTAGGACATCACCGTATTATGACTACCTTTCAGGCACTATAACAGAAGCACGATGCGGTGATACTCTGCCTCACTGAAAGCGGCTCAACAATGAAGGGTAGTTAGGAGAGAAGAATGTCTCCATCATTTTGGATCCCACCACTTGCAGCATCGGTAGAGGTGGAGAATGCGTCTCTGATTTGCAAAGTTTCTGGAATTCATGGGACGCCTGTGTCTTTTATCTGGCATTTGGTGGAAGCTAAATGGGATGCAGGGCATAGAGAAATGTGGGGAACTATGTCTCATGATATGGTTTGTGGGTTAATTTTTCCTTCCTTCATAATCAAAATAAACTGGTGTGGCAAATAAAATTGTGTTGTGTTTCTGCATTTATCAAATTAACAATATTTGGCAGTGGTGGCAGTGAAGGACAGAGTCTTTAGAAGGAACAAATGGATAATTGTTAGTTAATAAAATTACTAATGACTAATTGGATTACGTTTATGGAACCCAGGCCAATTTGCCAGATTTCCCTGAGAATCAGCAGCATGAAATTCAATGAAAGGAGAGAAGGTTGTCTGTCCACAGTTTCCTCTGCGATACAATAATAAAATGAATAATGACTTAACTTGTAGATTTCCTCACTTCCTCCATTAAATGCATTTGTATCTGGGGGCAGGGAGAGTGCCATTGTGATAGCGTCCCTCTTCCTCCTCCATCATCATCTTCTTATTTAGATGTGTTAGATGCTTGGTACCCGATAGTCTCCAAGTTGTTGCTGTCGCTAAAATTTGTATACCACCCTATACCCGGAGGTTCAGGGTGGTTCACAGAATAAAATCAGAATATAAAACCACAAAATACGCAATCAAAACAAAAACAACCCACTAACTCCCCCAACACATTTTAAAAGGGCATAGGATGCCAATCAAACAAAGGCTTGGTTAAAGAGGAACGTTTTTACCTGGTGCCTAAAGGCATATAATGAAGACCGCAAGCAAACCTCCCTTGTAAGCATTCCACAAGTGGAGAATTACTGCAGAAAAGGCCCTTCTTTGTATTGCCAGGCTCCAGACCTCTTGAGGATGAGACACATGAAGATGGGCCTTAGAAGATGATATCAGGATCTGGGTGGGTTCATATGGAAAGAGGCGATCCTTGAGGTATTGCAGTCCTAAGCTGTTTAAAGCTTTAGAAGTCAAAACCATCAATTTGAATTGAGCCCAGAAACTAATTGGTAGCCAGTGCAGTCAGGCCAGGATCAGTGTTGTGGTAATGATGCACCCCTACACTACCTTGTTCGTTACCCAGGTGAGGAACCACCACCATTTGAATAAACCACAAAACCAAGGAAACAATTATCAAGTCCAGCATCTATATTTAAGGATCCAGCATTCATTATAGCTATTGCAACAGAACAGAGGTCACTCAACTCAATGTGAACTTCAGAACAAAAGCTTATATAGTAGTTCAAACACAACAATCAAAGAGTTACAAAACATCTTCATGTACATCAGGTAAGGTTACAGGTCTGGAGAAATAACACATTTATGGCTCCATACTGGTATCACCTTGGAGTGGCCCCAATGTGTCCAGACCATTTGACCATTTTAGGTCTTGGATGTCTGGCGTTACCTTGGCAACCTTGCCTCCAGTGAGCGAAGAGCAACATAAAATCCTCTTCCTGGGGCTCAGATAGCTTCAAAGATAGCTGATTTATCCTCTTGTGCTAAAACATCCTGCCATTTGTACCACTTTCAGGGTTAGATAGGGAGACATGGAATGCAGCATAGGAGGGAGAGACTCACAAATGCAGAACACATGAAAATCAAGCCTAATACATTCTAAAAAGTTAAATGCAATTGAAGTGAAACATTATTAAAATAATAAGAATATACACCTGGGGTCTCTAATTTTTATATCAGTGTAATGAGCTCAAACCATCTTGCTCAGGTGAGCAACCTGGCTGCTGAATTCTGCACTAGCTGAAGTTTCTGAACCGTCTTCAGAGGCAGCCCCACATATACTGCATTGCAGCAATCTAACCTTGAGGTTACCAAGAGCGTAGATGACAGTAGTAAGGCTATCCTTGTCTAGATAGGGGTGTAGCTGGGCCACCACCCAATGCTGATGGAAAGCACTCCGTGCCGCTGAGGCCAACTGAGCAAAGGAATAGCAAAGGAACCAGGACAGCAAAGGAACCAGGAGTACCCCAAGCTATGAAGCTGCTCCTTCAAAGGAAGTGTAACCCCATCAAGAGCAGGCAATCTCCCATATGTATATTATATCCCAAATCTTTGGCCCAATCAATCATAACTGATTTTACCTCTTCATCCTTTGTACACCATTCTAGTAATATCTTATACATTCATGCCAAAAACTTTAAAGTCATTGTTCAATATTTCTCTTTAAAATTTTGACTCTTTATCAGCAAAACCCCTTTGAGTCAAATCTTTTTTAAACATTTCATGAATTTGAAAATAATGCAGCCAATCATTAACATATTCCTTAACTCCTCCAAATGGTCTCATTTTCCATTTACCTTCTATTTTCATTATTAACTTCTCATATGTCACCCATCCCCCCTTCATATTAATTTTCTTCACACTCATCGCCTCCAACGGCGATAACCAATACAGAGTTTTTGGTTCCAACAAATTTTTATATCTTTCCCACACTTCAATCAAAGACCTTCTTATGATGTGATTTTCAAAACCTTTATGTGCACGCTTCTTGTCATACCACAAATATGCCTGCCACCCAAATCTATTATCAAAACCTTCCAAATCTAACAAATCAGTATTTTCTAATTTCATCCATTCCTTCAACCAACAGAGGCAAGATGCTTCATAATACAATTTCAAGTCTGGCAGGGCGAAGCCTCCTCTTTCTTTCGCATCTGTCAATAACTTATACTTCATTCTCAGCTTCTTACCCTGCCAGATATACCTTGAAATTTCTCTTTGCCAATTTTTAAAAATTGCTGCCCCTTTGATTACTGGAATTGTTTGAAACAAGAATAACATTTTTGGTAGCACATTCATTTTTATTGTTGCAATTCTTCCCCAAAATGACAGTTTCATTCTTCCCCACACCTCCAGGTCCCTTTTAATCTTATTCCATGTTGGAATGTAATTATTCTGAAACAAATCAATACTTCTGGGGGTTAACCATACTCCTAAATATTTAACTTTCTTAACCACTTCTATCTCTGTTTGTTGCTGCAATTTATTAATTGTCTCCTGATCCATGTTTTTAGTAATTACTTTAGTTTTTTTTCTTATTCAAATTAAATCCTGCCAATTGGCCAAACTGATCTACTTCTTTCAAGACTTCTGTTACAGTATTCATGGGATTTTCCAAAGTTAATACTAAGTCATCCGCAAAGGCCTTAACTTTATATTCTTTACCGCCCACTGTTACTCCTTTTATTTGATCATTACTTCTTATTGCCCTTAAAAAGACTTCAAGGACCATGATAAATAGCAGTGGTGAAAGGGAACATCCTTGTCTTGTACCTTTAGTTATTTTTATGTTTTCCGTTGTCACGTTATTAACTATTAATTTTACTCTTTGATCCAAATATATTGCCTTAATACCATTTAAAAACATTTGTCCCATACCCATCATTTCAAAGTTTTTAAATATAAATTCCCAAGAAATATTATCAAAGGCCTTCTCCGCATCCACAAATATTAACATAGCTTGTTTATCATTCCTGGCAGTTAAATATTCCATAATTTTAATTATATTTCTAATATTATCTTTCATTTGCCTGCCTGGGAGAAAACCCGCTTGATCTTTATGTATCAGCTCCTTCAATACCTTTTTCATCCTATTTGCTAATATACTTGCAAACAGTTTGTAATCATTATTCAAAAGCAAGATCGGCCTAAACTTTTTAACTTGAGATAAGTCAGAGTCTTGTTTGGGTATCAAAGTGATATACGCTTCTTTCCAAGTTTCTGGTATTTCTCTATTTGTTAATATACTATTCATCACTTCTTTCAAGGGCACAAGTAGTATGTCCTTCATTTCTTTATAAAATCTTGCACTAAATCCATGCGGTCCTGGTGTCTTTCCACTTTTTAATTCTTTAATTGCATTTCTTATTTCTTCTATTTCTATCATCTCATTTAATTTACTTTTTTCTTTCGTTGGAATCTTCTGCATCCCTTTCTCTTTTAAATATTCTTCTATTTTTTTAGCATTTCCTTTTTCTTTCCTTTTATATAGTTGCCTATAAAAGTCCACAAATCCTTTTCTTATTCCTTTCGGATCTTCAATCTCTTTATCTTCCACGATTGGGAGAAATTATGGAAAGAAGGTTTAAGATTTACTGCATGTACAACTATAAAAGAAAATGTGATGAAAATGATGTATCGATGGTATGTAACACCGGTGAAATTAGCAAGGATGTATAAGACAAATAACAAATGTTGGAAATGTAAAGAAAAGGAAGGTACATTTTATCATATGTGGTGGGAATGTAAGAAGGTTAAAAGCTTTTGGGAAATGATATATAATGAATTGAAGAAAATGTTGAAATTTGTTAAGAAACCAGAAGCATTTTTACTAGGCATTACAGGTAACGAGATAAACAAGTAAGAAAAGAAGATATTTTTATATGCAGTGACAGCAGCAAGAATACTGATGGCCCAGAAATGGAAACAAGAGGAGCTACCTACGATAGAAGAATGGAGAATGAAAATGACGGACTATGCAGAACTTGATAGAATGACAGGAAGGATCCGAAATCGACGAGATCAGAGATTTACAGAAGATTGGGAAAAATTTATTGAGTATATGCAAAAATTAAGTGATAATCAGATAACGTTTGTAAGTTTTAATGAAGCTCTGTGAGGAAAAATGTTAGAACAACTACCAAAAAATAGGGTTTATGTCAGGGAACTGACATCGGACCGAGAGGTGAAGGGGAGGCTCCCAGATGATGCTGGCGAAGGACCCAGCAGCAGGGGGAGAAACAGCTCAGTAGAGGGAGAAGCAAATCAGCGGCAACACCTGGGATAAAGGGGGACAGATGAGGGAATCGGAGAGAGGGCTCCAGGACCCTTCACTGGAGATCAGTGAGGAGAGCACAGGTCCTCCGCTACCCATGCCCTCCCTGCGCAGAAGACTCCCGCGCAGTGAGAGGAGGAGGAGACTGGGTGTCAAACAACTTTTATGTTGGAAGAGGTTCAAGAAACGCCCACTGACGGATTCTGCCAGCGACTGAGGCAGCCACGATGAGAAAGGGCTATGCAGTCAGAAAGGTTTAATAAGGCAAATTAGCCCAGAAAGGCACCAGTTTACGCACAAGTAACTCATACCCATTACAGTTTAATATATAATAAT